TTTTGGGGCTCTGGAAGTGCCTAAATCCCAAATGTTCGGGATTTTTGGGATCTGGAAGTGCCTAAATCCCCACTTTTTCAGGATTTTTGGGGATCTGGGAGTGCCCAAACCCCCCTGTACCCAAAATTTGGGGAACTGAGATTTTACAAATCCCGATTTTTCCAGGATTTTGGGGGTTTGGGAACGTCCAGACCCCCCTGTACCCAAAATTTGGGGAACTTGGAATTCCAAAATCCTCTTTTTCCAGGATTTTTTGGCTCAGGAAGTGCCTAAATCCCCATTTTTCAGGATTTTTGGAGCCTGGGAGTGCCCAAACCCCCCTGTACCCAAAATTTGGGGAAATGGGAATTCCAAAATCCCAATTTTGGGGGTTTGGGAACGTCCAGACCCCCCTGTACCCAAAATTTGGTTCTCTGGGTGTTCCCAAATCCTCTTTTTCCAGGATTTTGGGGCTCTGGAAGTGCCTAAATCCCCATTTTTCAGGATTTTTGGGGATGTGGGAGTGCCCAGACCCCCCTGTACCCAAAATTTGGGGAACTGAGAATTCACAAATCCCGATTTTTTCAGGATTTTGGGGGTTTAGGAATGTCCAGACCCCCCTGTACCCAAAATTTGGGGAACTGGGAATTCCAAAATCCTTTTTTTCCCAGGTTTTTGGGGCTCTGGAAGTGCCTAAATCCCCAATTTTCAGGATTTTTGGGGATCTGGGAGTGTCCAAACCCCCCTGTACCCAAAATTTGGGGAACTGGGAATCCCTAAATCCCGATTTTTTCAGGATTTTGGGACTCAGAAAGTGCCTAAATCCCCATTTTTCAGCATTTTTGGGATTTGGAAGTTTCTAAATCCCAAAATTTTCAGGATTTTTGGGGTCTGGGAGTGCCCAAACCCCCCTGTACCCAAAATTTGGGGAACTCAGAATTCCCACTTCCTCTTTCCCCACAATTTTGGGGCTCTGGGTGTTCCCAAACCCCAAATTTTTCCAGGATTTTGGCGTTCTGGAAGTGCCTAAATCCCTTTTTTTCCAGGATTTTTGGGGTCTGGGGCTCCTAAACCCCCAATTTTTCCCAGGATTTTTGGGGTCTGGGATTTCCCAACCCCCCCTCTCCCAAAATTTGGGGAACTGGGTTTTTTCACATCCTCTTTTCCCAGGATTTTTGGGGCTGGCTGAACCCAAATTTCCTCTTTTTTCACCATTTTTGGGGTCTGGGTCCTCCCAAATTCCCCTAAACCCCAAATTTGGGGGGTCTGGGGGTGCCTAAATCCCATTTTCCCGGGGTTTTGGGAATCTCTGTGTATCCTGGTGGAATCCCAAACTTTGGTGTCCCTCAAATGCAATTCCAGTTGGATTTGACCCAATTTCATCACATTCCACCCCAATCCCAACCGCACGGATCCAATTTTTGTCGCGCCCATTGTGACCCCAAAATCCCGGTTTTTCGCCCCGATTTCGGCGGTGCCGGCAGAGCCCCCGGAGGTGGCGGTGTTCCCCAGTTGGTTCCACCTCAATCCCAGTTGGATCCAACCCAATTTTAGGGGTTTTCAACCCAATTTCAGGCTCTGAATCCAACCCAATTCTAGGGGATTTCAACCCAATTGCAGAAGGATCCTGGTGGGATCCCAAACTTTGGTGTCCCTCAAACCCAACCCCAGTTGGTTCCACCTCAATCCCAGTTGGATCCAACCCAATCCCAGTTGGATCCGACCCAATTTTCGGGGTTTTCAGCCCAAATTTCAGGCTCTGGATCCAACCCAATTTTTGGGGATTTCAACCCAATTCCAGAAGGATCCTGGTGGAATCCCAAACTTTGGTGTCCCTCAAACCCAACCCCAGTTGGTTCCACCCCAACCCCACTCAGATCCAACCCAATTTCACGAGTTTTCAACCCAATCCCAACCAGACCAGTCCAATTTTCGCCACACCATTCTGACCCCAAAATCCCGGTTTTTCGCCCCGTTTTCGGCGGTGCGGGCAGAGCCCCCGGAGGTGGCGGTGTTCCCCAGTTGGTTCCACCTCAATCCCAGTTGGATCCGACCCAATTTTAGCGGTTTTCAACCCAAATTTCAGGCTCTGGATCCGACCCAATTTTAGGGGATTTCAACCCAATTCCAGAGGGATCCTGGTGGAATCCCAAACTTTGGTGTCCCTCAAACCCAACCCCAGTTGGATCCAACCCAAACCCAATTCGTTTCGACACAATCCCAGTTGGATCTGACCCAATTTTAGGGGTTTTCAGCCCAAATTCCAGGCTCTGGATCCAACCCAATTCTAGGTGGATTCCAACCCAATTTTTGGGAGTTTCAACCCAATTCCAGAAGGATCCTGGTGGAATCCCAAACTTTGGTGTCCCTCAAATCCAATTCCAGTTGGATTTGACCCAACTTCATGACATTCCACCCCAATCCCAACCAGACCAGTCCAATTTTCACCGCACCATTCTGACCCCAAAATCCCGGTTTTCCGCCCCGATTTCGGCGCTGCGGGCAGAGCCCCCGGAGGTGGCGGTGTTCCCCAAGCACGCGGTGGAGCCGGACGAGCCCAACGTGCTGATCTGCGCGGCGAGGAAGCTGTGGCCGCCGGCGCTGGCGCTGCGCTGGCTGCGGAACGGGGCGCCGGCGCCGCGCGGCGCGCTGGAGACGCCCTTCTACCCCGACCGCGACTTCACCTTCCGCAAGTTCTCCTACCTGCCCTTCGTGCCCCGGCCCGGGGACTACTACGACTGCGAGGTGGAGCACGAGGGGCTGGCCCAGCCCAGCAGGACGCACTGGGGTGAGGTTTGGGGTTTTTGGGGAAAAAACCCGGTTTCTTTGGGTGAAAAAATGGGGATTTTGGGAAAAAAAAGTGGTTTTTTGGGAGAATTGGGGTTTGGGATTTGGGGTTATCAGGACTGCGAGGTGGAGCACAAGGGGCTGGCCCAGCCCAGCATTGGGAAAAATTGGGGTTTTGGGGTTTGGGATTTGGGGT